AATATTTGACAAAGGAGGCAAAAACTTACAATGAGATAAAAATAGTCTTTTAAATAAATGGTGTTGGGAAAAATTGGACAGATACATGCAAAAAAAGAAAAATGAGCACTAACTAGTTTGAGCGTCGGCCTGCAGATTGAAGAGTCCCAGGATTAATTCCGGTCAAGGGCATGTACCTTGGTTGTGGGCACATCCCCAGTGGGAGGTGTGCAGGAGGCAGCTGATCGATGTTTCGCTCTCATCAATGTTTCTAACTCTCTATCCCTCTCCCTTCCTCTCTGTAAAAAATCAGTAAAATATATTTTTTAAAATTAAACTAGACCACCTTCTTACACCATACAAAAGAACTCAAAATGGATTAAAGACTTAAATGTTAGCCTTGAAACCACAAACATCTTTGAAGAAAACATAGGCAGTAAAATTTTAGACATTTCTCGTAGCTATATTTTTTCTGATATATCTCCTTAAACAAGGGAAACAAAAGAAAAAATAAACAAATGAGACTACATCAAGCTAAATTTTTTTTTGCAGAGCAAAGAAAACCATCAACAAAATGAAAAGATAACCCATTGAATGGGAGAACATATTTGCCAATGATATATCTGATAAAGGATTAATATCCAAAATTTATAAAGAACTTAGAGAACTCAACACCAAAGAAACAATCAAATTTAAAAATAGGCAAAGGACCTGAGTAGACACTTTTCCAATGAGGATATACAGATAGCTGATACACATATAAAAAATGTTCAATGCTAATCATCAGAGAGATACAAATTAAAACCACAATGAGATATCTTCTCATACCTGTCAGAATGGCTATCATCAGTCACAAACAACAAGTATTGGTGAGGGTGTGGAGCAAAAAGAACCCTCATACACTGTTGATGTAGGTGGGTGCAGCCACCGTGGAAAACAGTATGGAATTACCTCAAAAAATTAAAAATAGCCATAACCGGTTTGGCTCAGTGGATAGAGCATTGGCCTGCGGACTGAAAGGTCCCAGGTTAGATTCCGGCCAAGGGCATGTACCTTAGTTGTGGGCACATCCCCAGTAGGAGGTGTGCAGGAGGCGGCTGATCAATGTTTCTAACTCTCTATCTCTCTCTCCCTTCCTCTCTGTAAAATCAATAAAATATATTTTTTAAAAAATTAAAAATGAACCGAAACCGGTTTGGCTCAGTGGATAGAGCGTCGGCCTGCGGACTGAGGGGTCCCAGGTTCGATTCCGGTCAAGGGCATGTACCTGGGCTGCGAGCACATCCCCAGTGGGAGATGTGCAGGAGGCGGCTGATCGATGTTTCTCTCCCGTCGATGTTTCTAACTCTCTATCTCTCTCCCTTCCTCTCTGTAAAAAATCAATAAAATATATTTAAAAAAAAAAATTAAAAATGAAACTGCTTTATGACCCAGTGATTCCACTTCTGGGAAACACGGAACACTTGAAAGAATATATGCACCCCTATGTTCATTGCAGTGTTATTTACAATAGCCAAGATTCAGAAGCAGCCCAGGTACCCATCAGTAGATGAGTGAATAAAAAAGCTGTAGTACATATTTACACAAAGGAATACTATTCAACCGAAAAAAAGGAGGAAATCTTACCTTTGGGACAGCATGGATGGACCTGGAGAGTATTATGCTAAGTGAAATAAGCCAGTCAGAGAAAGACAAATACCATATGATTTTACTTATATGTGGAACCTAGTGAACAAAATAAACTAACAAACAAAATAGAAACAGACTTATAGGTACAGAGCACTGACTGACAACTGTCAGAGGGGAGTGGAGTTAGGGGACTGAGTGAGAAAGGTGAAGGAATTACTAGTAAGCGAAGAAAAAAAACAACTCGTAGACACAGCCAACAGTATGGTGATTACCAGAGGGTAAGGGAGGTGGAGGGAGGTAGAAGAGGGTATAGGGGGATAAATGTTGATTAAAGGAGACTTGACTTGGGGTGGTGAACACATAATACAATATACAGATAGTTATCATAGAATTGTACCCTAAAACCTACATAATTTTATTAACCAATGTTACCCCAATAAATTCAATTAAAAATTTTTCAGAATACTTTTCAAGTTTTTTTTTTTTTAATCTTTCCCTGAGAGGCATGCTCAAAGTATGCTTACAAGAGTCATGAAAGTACTGTGGTTTGGGGACTAAGATCCCAGGATGTAGAGTCAGGGATACCATCTTCACAACTCACTAGAAGGAAGACCCAGTCCAAGTTGCTTAATTTCTCTGAGCCTCAAGAACTCCATCAACAAAATTGAAATGTGCCAATCTCACTAAGTTATTGAGAGAATCAATGACATCCCCTATAGTTGCTTGTGAAAAGTGCTGAATACAAGCAGTAATCAAAAGATTATTATAGATATTATTCTATAATGATCAAATCATTATTACCTTTATTACAATGCCCGAATATCTGAGTCATCCATTGGAGAGACCGCTTGGTTTTCTCCTCCGTTAACTGTCAGTTCACCCTCCTCATGTGGGTTTTGTCATCTATCTCTTAGCCTGTTAGAACAAAATTCAAGATTAAAGAGTAAGTGGCCTCTGCTGGTGAAAGAACCCAGGTATTCCGTCCCTTCTTCTCTGGACTCACCTAAATCTTTAAACAAACACCTCCTAACATTTAACCTATGCCAGGTTTTCAAAATCTGGTATGTATAAATGTCACCTGGGTTTCTAAGGCTCATACCTAAATATTCTCTTCCAGTAGATTGGGGGTGGGGCCTAGGAATATGCATATGAATCAGTGCCCAAGTGAGTCTGACATAGGTGATCTCTGGGCCACCCTTTCAGAAACACAGACTCTCTGAGTCTCAGGACCTCGGGGATTATAAAAAGAGCATCTGCTGAAGCAGAGGAATATTCACTGACTCAATTGTCTAGGCTGTGCAGACAGTATTTACAGTTGACACTTTCCAAACATTAAAGGAATGTTTTAAGGAATAAAAAAATAATTCTCCAAACATGTGGGCTGCTGGCTTTCATTTCAGATAGATCATTTGTATATCATTAAAAGTCCTAAGCAGAAATAAGATGCTAATGAAATTGGTTAAGTCAAATCAATGCAACTTTAAAATTCATGAAAGCAAAAATAAGATTCCTGCAAATGAATAAATGTAACATTTTTCTCATTATGGTTTTCTATTTCTGGAGCATATTCCTTGGCATCTGACATTCTTTATTTTTTTGGCATTTTTAGTTCCTCTTATTTTTTTCCTAAAAATAGGCCCAGTAATACTATAGCTCAAGATATTTGTACATGTGCTCTTAGAGACATACATTTATATATCTTGAGATAAGCATGCTTTATTGAAAAAAATACTTCTTCCTGACCTTCACACTCCCTTTCTTTTTCCTTGTTGTCATCAGTATCACCTTATTCAGTGCATAGAAAGTTATGTTCACTTTCTTAAAAGATATTTCTTCAACTAAGTTGAAATACTAGTAAATTGGGATGCCCTACCATTAGAAAATAGAGTGTAGAGCCATTGTAATTGGTGCTATTATCAGACATTCTTATTTGTATTCTAAATCCAAGTGCATACTAAGTTCAAAATGCAGTCACTTTGAAAAAGGACCCTTGATAGAATACACAATTTTTTTTTTCTTGGATGTCAAGATCTCAGGCATGAGTAAGATTGAAGATAGTTTAGTGTTCTTTTTTCACCTCAAGTTTCTAAAATAAACATGAATAATTTTTATAATTAGAAACATCCCAGTAAATGTTATTATTTAGGAAGAAAATTTTAGACTCATGGAAGCCCACACATAATTAGGCTTTACCCAAATGTATCTCTACACTACAGTTGTCTAAATGCTTTCGGTGTGGTGGTCAATTTCTTCCAATAACATTCAATGAAATTTATTTGCTTTAATGATTTTAATAATTAGGTATCTTGTATATACTCCTGATTTTTTAAGTCAATCTGGTGTTGGTATGAAATGAATCCAGGAAACTGTACAATTAACAAAATTCCATCTTTGTTGGATATGGCCTTTTAAATAAGCAAGTGTCAGATTTATAATGTGGGACTTATGAAAATGTCCCATTACCTAGGATTATCATAATCCTGGAAATGACAATTTTAAAATTTGTAGATTCATTTTAAGATAACAGAGAAGGATGAAAGAAGGAGTCTATATTTATGGTGACCAGGTGTTCCTGGCCCACCATCTTTCATAGCAGAGCTCACATTGTTCTATCCCCAGAGCTCTGATCAGGAAGACATAAAAGGTATGAACGTCTGAGAGGGCCTGGTAAACTCTTCACCCTAACTGTTCAAAGTACCTCATTCTTGGGGTAGGACTTAACAGCTTCCAACTAAAGGTGAGAAGTGCTAAGATTTCTGCAAGCAGATGTTGAAGTCAGTAAACTCAGTCTATATCTAACACATCATCCCACTGGACCAAATAGGAGAATCAGAAATTGAATTCCTTCAAACAAACATACATGAGAAGGCAAACAAGCATGAAAAAACAAATGATAGAATTGGCTAATCCCAGGCTCAGCCTGAGTGGACTCACAGAGAAATCACTTTTATCCTTATGTTTCCTCTTACAGGCAATATTTAATATTGAAAATGAAATTTAAGAGAAAAAAAAAAAGAAAATGAAATTTAAGATATGCGATACTTTAAAATAATATCAATCAGAGAAAGGAGAAATATGTACATATCTGTATGGTTTAATATACAAGGTTTATTTGTAAGCCTAAAAAATATTATATATTTTAAATACAACTAAGGATAATTTTATTTTTTTAATTGTTCATCTTTATTGTTGAGGATAGTACAGACGTCCCCTATGTTTCCCCCATTTCCCCTCTCCCCTGACTCCCGTCCCACCCCAGGCTTTCCCTCACTGTTGTCTGTGTCTGTTGATTATGCATTAGGTTATCCTCTGCCCACCCTTCCTCCCCCTTCCCTCTGAGATCCATCAGATAATGTTCTTAGATGGAACTATTTCTGAAAAGAAAGCTTTCTTATTTTATCTGTTAACAATCTTGTTCATGAAGATTGAGTTGCTCTTTAAAGGTTTACTACTTTAAGCAACAAAGCAATGAATGAACTCTAGTGCAGGGCATATGAGCAGATTGTTCTCCAACACGAGACACAGAGGCCACTGGTTGCCTTGCAGGGTTCTCCAATAACTTGCATAGTCCTTGGGTGGGAGCTAGATAGACCCTCTCACGGTGCGCTTTGCATAGACTAAGTTTGAATAGCAATGGAGCAGATCAGTTACTGGGTGGAGCCAGACTGCTTGGGTTCAAATCCCGTCTCCCCAGTTTACTAGCTTGTGACCTTGGGTGACTTATTTTAGTTCTTTCTGCCTCTGTTCCCTTGCCTGTAGATAAAGATAATACTACTACTCTATCGTAAAGTTGTTGTAAGGTACAATTAACCCAAACAAAGTTCTTCGAGTAATGCATGGTACATAGTAAATTGTAAATATTAACTGTATTCATAAATACAGTGAAGATAGAAATGAAAGAAATCAAGAAGGAAGAAAGAACAATTGCCAAATAGTATCATGAAGATTATTTTAGGAAAATTATGTGCAAATGTATTCATTGTTGTGCTTATGTAGTTTTCTTTTCTTGTCTTTTTTTCTCTTGCATCTGTGTGAAAGTCTCCAGGAAATGTGAGTGGAGACTTCTCCATTGTTATCTACAACAACCAATCAAGGCTGAGATGGCATTTCTAAAGAAAGAGCAGTTGTTTGTGAAACATTTCCACCTGTAAAAGTAATGGCCAAAACTTGTTCTCAATTTCACTTAGAACCCATTGTGTTAGAAGTGAATCTCTCAAGGACTGGACATCCATTGCACGCCTGTGGAAAATCACTTTTTAATGGCCTGCCGCCGTGGGAAGTGGTACCGAAGAAGGAGGCCAGCTAATGAACGGGAAGCACAATGATGAGTCTAGTTCATCAGATTTCTCATGTAAGTCAAATGAAGAGGAAGGTAACAGTGGATTAGTATATTTCACTCAACACTTCTCCTTCTGCCAAGAATTTTTTAAATGTCAGAAGACTATAACTCACATGCTTCACAGATTGTGAGCAGCTTTCTCCAAACCTTCAACCATGTGTGCAGGAGCACCCACACTCAATGTACTCCAAGCAGGACAGCAAATGGCCAAACACCATCTCGAATGCCCCAGGATATGAAGGAGTAGAGGACCCCATGCAACACTTGCTCACAGAGAAGGACAACCAAATGCTGCTGGGAGTGGTGCACTATGAACAAACAAACTGTAGCTCTGCCAAAGCATGGGAGAAGCTGGGAGCCATCAACAGAGTGAGCACAACGAGAAACTCCCAGTGACGGTCATCTTATCAAGGTGGCTGGCGGTGAAGAGGAAAGATACTCTTGAGCACTGTAGTGCCAATCATGTACAAGTCATGGACTCTTGAGAAGGAAGATCACTTCTTTTCAGCCTTTGGTGGTCAGAGTTGAATACAGTTCCTAACGTATAAAAATAATGATGATCATTAACACTGTTGAAAACTAACTGTATTCCAGGCACTGTGCTAACAGCTCGACTACAAGTATTATCTCATTTGATCCTAAGAATCCTATTTTATATTTCGGGCACCTCAGACACACAGAGGTTAGTATTTGACCTGTCACCCATTAGCAATTGTGACTCACATAATCAATACTCAATATGTATTTAAATGAAAAAATGAAGTGAATGCATTTTAAAGTGGAGTCTAGTTTCCCGATACACAAACTCACTAGGTATGCACATAGTACTAGAGCTGAAGGGAAAGGATACCAAAAAGAGGCTGAGCCCAGCTGCGGTGCATCCACTGTTGAGCATCGACCTATGAACCAGGAGGTTACAGTTCGATTCCCAGTCAGGGAACATGCCCAGTTGCAGGCTGGATTCCCAGAAGGAGGGGGTGCAGGAGGCAGCTGATCAATGATTCTCCCTCATCGTTGATGTTTCTATCTCTTTCTCCCTCTCCCTTCCTCTCTGAAGTCAATAAAATATACATATTAAAAAAAGAGGTTGAATAATTTGAAAATTACTAGGTTCAAAGGGCTTTATAATAACCATGTTGTGGGAAAAATCTTTGAGGCAGGTCACTATTGTTAACCTCATATTTCTATAGTAAACCTGAGATTCAGAACTGTTTGCGTGGTTTCAGAAAGGTATTCTGAGGGAAGGGCTGTGCATGCTATAGAAATACTGAGGATCTCCAGGGTCATGAAACCTTAGGAGTGTTGTAAGAGGCAGTGTTGCTCCTCTAATTTGAGACAGTTCATGCAAAAAAGAAATACAAATAGCCAATCAATATATAAAAATACCTTCAACCTCAACGGTAATCAAATTTGAATTATATCAATTTTAAAAAATTACTAGGATTGCTTAGCAGATGGGAAGAAGCATTATTGCATACTGCAAAGAAATACTGTCGTTATCACACTACCTCCTCCTTGTTATCTTCCTTTTAATTCAATTTCCCGCAAGTATGCTTAAATGGGCCTTTCACTATTCTGAATAGCCTTTATCATTACTGCTTGGGGGTTCTTTCTCTTTTTAGAGCTAACAGTTTATTTGTCTCAAAAAATGGAAGCAATTCCTTTCTTCTTCTAGGAGCAGCCAACTAGTAGTAGCCCAAGCACTCATTTGTTCATTCATTCATTCATTCTACAAATATTCCCAGAGCATCTATTCGATGGGGACATGGTGGTGAACCAGACACAGTCTTGCTTTCAGCATCTTACAGCCCAGTAGGAAACCTAGTGGTAAACAAGTAATTGCCCAAATAGTGAACAAATCATAACTAAGATACATGCTATCAAGGAGAGATACATCATACATGAGGGATATAGCGATGAAACATACAAGCCTGGAGGAGTCGAGGAAGAGTTCACTGATATGATGTTTAAGCTGAGACCTGAAAAGGAAATACAGAATATGAATGGAAGTTGGTTGGGGTGGGGGCATAAGTAAAAAATGTTCCAGGCAGAGGGAACAGCCTGTGACAGCAGGTATAAGGACCATGAGGCAGGGAGAAACTGGACTCAGCATGGATATTTGTTCTAATTATTAAATATTAACACTTTATTGGTTGTCAATCGAGCACTATCTTCTAGGAACTGCCATGTAAACTATCTATTAGAAAATAAGATGCTACAAGGTAGACCAAGAAAAGTACTCAAACCCTGGACAATCCACCATCGGCCATGGTGTAAGAAATTGGATCTATTTGCTCTAAGAACATCTCCAAGGAGTTGCTAAGAAAATCCTGTTGCCTCTCTGAGGCTCTCCTGCCCCCTCCCACCATACAGAATGAGAGAGAGGAGAGAGAGAGAGAGAGAGAGAGAGAGAGAGAGAGAGAGAGAGAGAGAGAGAAGCTTATGGAAGAACCTCTCCCAAAACATTCATCTGATGCATATTCAGGTCTTCCAGCAAAACAGTGTGGCGGTTGGCCCCACTGCCTCTCCATTTTCTCCCCACTCACACTCTTTCCCTGAGGCCTCCACCCACCTTTAACTTAAAAACTTGGGCTTATGCATCTGCCAAAGTAAACAGAGATGCCTTTTTTTTTTTAAAGCAGAGGAAAAGGAGAGAATGAAGAAAATAAATCCCCTCAGGACATCTTGCACTTTGGGATCCACCCAGCAAAACTATCTGAACGCCAACCTGACTCCTGTAGCTTTTCAAAGCACACAACAACCGGGTCACCCAGCTTAAGTGGCATAAAAAGCAGACCCACCAACTGATTGCATTCATGGTGTGTGGTCCAGAAAATTAATCCACTTGGAGGACAAAGCCCACACCTCTTCTTTGCAAGTTCATTCGGTTTCCTCACTTATTGTTTTCTCCAGGTAATGCCTGCAACCTAAGTAGGATCAGTAAAGTAAGTAGCTCTTGATAAAGCGCAGGAAACAGAGGTGGGAGGGAGAGCACGGAGGGAGGTGCGAGGCGAAGTCAGAGAACCTCCGTGTCCTGGGACCCAAGGAAAAGTCCGATCAGAGCCTGCGATGCTCGAGTGAACTCTTAAGGTATGGATAGGTCGTATAGAGCTAAATGTTACTTTTTACTTCTACGTTAATATAAAGCTCAATCACAGAGGATTCAGCATTTTCCTAATTTTTGAAACCCACTCTGAGGGAAACAGTCCTAATTTGGCATGGAAATGGGGTACGTCCCCCGCCCCCCGCCCCGCGGGCTTTTCTGCAATCTCAAATCTCTCTTAAGAGACCGGTCAAGGGTTTCATCTTGCCACCTATAGTCACTCACAGTTTATGGGTGGCTTTTAAAAGTAAATTCTGAACAAACTGTGTACTGTGTAAGTTTATCCTTAGTTCCGTTTTGAGTCTTAAATCAATCTCATTGTTTTAAACAAACAAAACATTTTTTAATTGAGCCAAAAAAAAAAAATGTTACCTATATATTCCTTTTAGGAGTGTGTGTGTATGTGTGTGTGTGTGTGTGCTCGAGTGTGTGTGCTCGCGTGCGTGTGCATGCGTTGTGGATCAAATCTATCTCCTTCAGAAGATTTCCTCTGTCAATAGTTCCTAAAGCAGGAAAACTCAGAGCGCCTCAAGGGTGATGTTCTCATTTTCATGTTGTCCCCTTGTTTCCACAAGACATAAGCCAGCCTCCTACATTGTCCAACTGCAGGGAGCACCATGTTCTTGCAGACCAGAGTAAGAAGGGCACAGGATGGAACAACGGTTTCAAATGTATACCAAGGTCAGGGGTTGCAGAATAGTGTAGAACGTTCGCCAGATGTACACCAACTTCTACATGCACACAGTGTTTTTCCCAACCGCTCTCCACAATGAGTCTTCTCTTGGTCACCCTGTCCCGAGTGGTGGAGGTGGTGGTGGAGGCCTCCGGGAAGTAGGGCCAAGTGAGAGGCGGGTTGGCTGAAACACCTTCCTTTATCCTCTGAACCAGGATGGCCCTGGAGCCTAAAATCCATTCCCCTTTTATGTTTTCCTTTTATCTTCTTAAAATGAAGTATGTCCACCGAGTGCCATTGCAGCCACCCTCCCTGTGACCAGTACACAAAACCCACTCCGTGCTCAGAGCCTAACAACAGCCCGTTTCACAGCTGAGACCTCCTGCGTCTCGCATCCCTCGGTGTCCTATTTCCCCCGAAGCTTTTGCTCTTCAAAGAGGGACATCTCTGGGCAGCAGCGCAAGTTTTACTGATAAAGTTAAACCGACCCCGTTGACACAGGGCAATCTGAACGAACAGAGAATTCAGAATTCAAACGCGGCAGGATAAGGAGAGGCGCTGAGGTCTAATGGCCTGGCTTTTGAGTGCTCGGTTCCCAGGCTGTGCCCCAGGGAGGATCAGGCTTCCCGGACACTCAATATGCTGGGAGGGTACCCGCCTCAGCCCCGGGCTGCGGCCTAGAGGAACCAGAGAAAAACAATTTTCTCCGGAAGCGCTGGGGAATGCAAAGATACATTTAATAATAATATTTGATGGGGGTGGAGAAAGAGGTTTTTTGTGTGTGTGCGCGCGCGTGTGTGTTTTTCAAGGAGAACTTTCTCTGGCACCACAAAATTAAAGGAATTTCTAACCCCGGTCTTCTTTTCGTCTTTCCCAGAGGAGGAAATTGTAAAGGCCGGCCCTTGAAAAATAATATAGTAAAATCTAACTTTATTCCCCTAATCTCTTAATAATGCTGCAGCTGGCCATGATCTATTTAGCATAACACAAAAATAATGTATTTGTACCAAGCAGATTTGAAATGCTTTAAAATAGGGAAAGCTATTTACTTGATTGATTAAGTTAAAGTGTTTACATAAAAGTGTCGTATTTTGACATCAGTCATACAACACCACATATGGTACTTTTAATTAAATTGTGTGAAAAAGGCTACATCTTATATTCAGTCACAACAATATGGCTAACGGGAAGCACAAACGTATTCGTCATGCCAGAACCTGGGAGCCGCGGTCATGGCATGTGGCTGCTAAAATCCCCAGATTCGGATTTTTAAAGCTTTCATAGCCTCCAACACATGTTTTGCCTGAACAAAGACGAAGCAACTGGGCCCCACTTCTGTGAGTCAATGGTTCTTATTTTTCCCATTTTGATTTAAACCTCTCCAAGCGCCATCAGTGAAGTAAAATATACTGAGAATTAGAAGCAAGTTATCCTAAGGAATTGGTGCTCAGAGCCCAGGTAAGGCGCTTTGTTTTGTTAAGCTTTATTCCTGGAGATTAGGAAATAAACCCAAGAAACTTTCCCGGAGAAACAGGGGAGGGAGACCCTATTATTCTATCCGAGTGAGAGCTCATTTGTATCTTTGAAGTGTGGGACTCATACATCCCTTGAAAAGGGCCTGCTCCTTCCTTCTCCAAGCACTTGATTTAAACCACTGCCCCCCTTTTCTTTCTCCCAAAATTAAGATGAAATATTTTAAATATAACAAAGGACAAAATGGCTTGGCTTGTAAAGGCATGCTGACTTCACTTTTAATATAGACAAATAATACTTCAAAGTCCTCTTTGTGTGTGTGTGTGTGTTTTAAGCTAACTTATGTCCACCCCATGTGCAAATTCAATTGACTAAGTCCACAACCGAAGTGAGCCTCCCTGGGAACCATCCATTTGCTACGAAGGTAGAGGAGACACTGCTGTATTTTCTTAAAGAGATTCCTGGCATTTTTCTCCTCCTTCATTTCGCCTTAAAGACTACCTTGAGAAATGTTGCCCAGCAGTAAAAGGAAAATGAGTCCAAGCTTCAAAATCAGGAAATTTGGGTAGTAAAAATGTAAGTTATAAAGCCAATGTTGATCGGAAAATAAATTGAGCTCTTTTAAATGGTGGGTTAAGTGTCAGCCCTGAGAAGTAAAGACCATCCAACTTCCTATAGAACTTATTCGTCCTTCCTCAGGCAAACGCTGCCTCCAAAAGGCTCCTAAGCTGCAAAAGGGTATGCTGGCCCAAGTGGCGAAGCATTTGAACACACATACGGGGCATGCACTTATTTACCATGTACCATGTTCAACCTAAAGAAAACAAAAGGGGGAGGCGGGAACCATGAACAACTAGAGGGCACGGTTTTCCATAATTGCAAGGAGGTTTAGGTAATGCTCTGCGTGGTGTTTGATTTAAAATGTTAAAATATTAACAAAAGTTTTCTATAGCAGAGTGTTCCTATCACAGTGAAATGACTCATAAGAATGCTAAATTCAAACCAGATGGGCACAAACATTAACTGGGGGAGAAAAAAAAATCAGATTTTTAGGGGTCAGCATGGGTCTTCACAAAAATGAAGACCTTGTCTGAGTTTGTGAAAAATGAACTTTCTGTGATAAAAACTAAAACAAGAGAAAATATTAGTGACTTTATTTTAATTATACAAGCCACCGTCAATTAGAAGAACTAACATTTACAAAACTTGGCATTGCCATTTTAATTTGAAAAAGATGACTAGGGTAATCTTGAGACTTCAGATACACAGGGACTTCAGTGTGTCCTGTGCACCCCGAGTGAGGGACACACGGGTTCAGCTGGGTGCCACGCTCTTCTACAACAATCTCTTTGCTTCCCACCGAGAAGTTCTTCTCATTGAAGATTTGTGTGGTATAGAAACCTCCAACCATGGGTCCCCGGCGTGAGGCCAGCCTCTGCTCCTCTTTCAACAGACCACAGAGGAAAATTCTCACCGCCGGGGCAGACACCTAACCGAGTCTGCTCTGCCCTCTTGTTAAAAATATGTTCCCTCGCATTTCTCCCTTTTTGGTTTTTGTCCTGCAGAGCTTTTTACCATTTACAGATTGTCGGCAACATGTGCTGTGTATAAATGTGTACATACCCTACAAGAAGAAAAATATGTGGGCTCAGAATTAATATTGTTTTTGACTTATAGGGAAATTCCAGGTCTGTTTAACTTGGACTGTGGGATCCAGGAACATTACAGAG